GAGACCTTGGATGGCATACAATTGGACAGCATACAATTTTTATAAATAAATAAATATTCACGCACCCACTGTCTATGGAGGCAAGGCTTTATCTAAAGGTGCCGAACATCTACCCTTCCAGCCACTAGTTCATACAGCCCAAATGTAATTCCTACTGACTTTAAACTGAAGGTGTTTTCTATCATTAATCTCCAACTTTACTGATGTAAGAGCTACTTTGGGCTCTAACAATTCTTTCCCCTGCCCTCTGCAGGTCCTTTAAGTTAAAATCAGTACCAAGATCAGAAATGGGGCCCCTTTTTGGACAGATTTTCCATAGGCTTCTTCTCTGTGACCAAGTGGAGGGGCTTTGCCAGCTACAGCTTTCCATGCAGAGGTGAGCAAATGTTGCCTCTTCCACAAAATTGTGTAAGGGATAAAACCTTTCCTTTTCATTTGGTCATCCTAGTAGCCTGGGAAGAATCCTGTCTAACTTGAAAGTTCACTTACTACATTTGAATACAGCTTGGTCTTAATTAAAGGTATCACTACACTAGCTCTGGAAGGTGAGTTTCTAGTGTCCTAACTAAAACTTAAGTTGATTGACTGGTGCAGCTCTGTTGAGACACCATGATTCAAGACGCTTTCACACGGTTCCCAAAGGCCTACCACACCCATCAAGTCTCTCCTTCTGCTCCAACCAGGCTGAGACAGCCACCAACATGCACTAAAGCCCACAGATCTCACACTGTGGCCTGCTAGCAGAGGCAGCACTGAGTTTGTCTCATGCAGATAGAGGGCCCACCAATTTATAGCTGATTGCCAGCATTCATCCACCCTGGAAGGAAGGCAAACAGAAATGGCCTCCCATTTGCCATTGAAGTCTTGCTGGCTATCACCTTTGCACCTGAAAGGGAAGTTCTCAAGAGTTTAACACATTCCTCTCTGCTGGGTGAGCTTAAGAGTCCCCCTCCCTTAAGCTCCTGCCTTGCACTTGAAGGACTCTGAAGAGCCAAGACCTACTTTAAAAGCTCAGTAAATTTCCTTATGAAAGCCACCTTATAAAAAAGAGTGATCTGGCTAGCACACTTGGTTAGGTATTTACATGCAAGGTTTGAAAGATCCAAAGCACAGTTCTGTAACAAATAAAATAGATTGCATTAATTACCAAGGAAATCAGTGTTTACAAGTCATTTCAAAGTAAGAACATCTCTCTTATGCAAAAGACATAAGAGGGTAGAAAATACAAGATTCCTGCGACAAAATGCTTTCCATGCTGCCTTGCATAATGGTTGCCAGGGCAGGTCCTCCAACAGCTAGCACAGTTCCATCTTGGTAGGCGTCAGAAAGAAGACTGGCTGGAAACTCCCTCAAATGTAATTCTCTTGTTTCTGAATGTGGATGCACCAGAACAAAAGTGGGGTGCAGCCTCGGCTATGCCTCCCTGTTCCAGACTGTAAACATGAGGCATGGCTCCATCTTACAGGCTCAGGCGCTCCCAAACAAGGCTTCAAGGCACACCTGCCTCATTCACAGGATTTGTGGTGGAGGTGTGGCATCTCAGGAAGAAGAGTTGATCTGCTCACCCAGTCCAGTTCTGTGCCTGTCTCCATATTTAGCTTTTCAGTGAGAAAGGCCATCCACCAAAAAGCATTTACCATACAGAGGCCTGCCCTTCCCCCTCAACCCTATCCGGGCCCAGCCCAGCCGCTGAATGAAACCTGGGGAGCGTTCCAAGGCAAAGCTGCAGCTGACTCACAGCAGCTGCTTCCCTGGGCCAGTCATCGCGGGAGGCGAATGAGGCCAAGGGGAAGGGAAGGCCAGTGCTCAGCTATTCCAGGAAGCATGTGCTGAGAAGAGAAGCAGGCCTGAGCGAGGGGAAGACAGGCCCTGGAGCAGAGGCCACAGAGGGTCAGAAACTTAGGAAGGGTGTGTGCTGTGTGGGAGCCTTCTGTGGTTTTGGGCACAGCCTTTTTGCCAGAAAACTGTGGTCTTATGCATGCTTATCTGGGTAGATATCTCCTTGGATTCAATCGTATTACTTTTTAATACACTTGGAGAAGATTGGACCCTAACACTGGTAGGAAAAACCAGAAGCATCTGTGAAGTACATTCTCCTTTAAAAGTGCAATGTAATGCTACATTGCCAAAATAATAAAAAAGCACAGGGTGTTCAGGAAAGACATGGTTATGGTGTTTTTTTTATCTCAGCAGTATATCAGAGTCTGATTTTGGTCATAAAGTGTTAATGTTTGTTCAGGATTGTGTTATTTAAATTTTCTTAACTATCTCCTTTTCTCCCAATTTTGCAGCAAGGAAGTAATTCAACTGATTACACATTTGAAATCATTTTTAAACATGACGAGCTGAGCACATTTCATATCACTATATTTCTCTTCTTGTACTAGATAAAAAGTCCAGTGTTCATTTCATGATCACTGATAAAAATATATCCACAAAATGGAATGAAGATGGGAAGCCTGTAGAAGAATAAGTAACAACCTTTACCTGATATTGGTCAGAACAATCCTCCTGCTTCTCTCCAGTTTACCATTTCTTTCCAATTTTTCACTGCAATTGTAACCCTGCCCTTCAGAAACTGTTATATGTACTGTTCCTTCTCAGCTAACTCCATCATGCTGTCCAAAAGGCCATATAAGCCAGTGACTACCAGAAGAAATGCTCTTGCAGGACTCCCTGGTCTCAAATAAACCCTCTGTGATTGAGCGCCTGTGATCATAGGCTGCAACAGCACAGGAAGATTGGCCTGGCTTTGCAAGGGACATGTAAGCAAGCTTGTCTTTGTCTTCTTTTCAGCTACTATTCTGACCTGGATCCCTAGTAGAGTTACACAGTGGCTCTCAGGTTTGACTTAAACCCCGAGATCTGGGAATTCAAGCTTCATGCCTCCCATTGATTATCTAAGAAATTTTAAACTGAATCTACCAGGTTTCAGATGAATAGGTACTGGCAAGAGCAACCTTGCCATTTGAGAGGACCCAAAGCTGAGTGCTTATCTTCTGTTCTTTGAATGGTATTGTTCTGAAAATGACAGAAGTGGCCTCAGGAAGAAACCTGCAAGATCTCACATGAATGATAGATAGAGTCCTCAATTTTGGGTGGCACCAGGATGAATTGTTTCCCCTTCCTTTCCATTTTCCCCTCTGTTTTTTTTTCCAGGAGATTTATAGGAAAACGGCACAAATGGCCCATGCAAGAAAACTATTTTTCCAGAAGGGTAGGTTCAAGGTCTAGGGAGTTATGATAGAAAACCAGTTTAAGCCCTTTTTCTTAGTAAAGCTGGGTGGTGCTGGAGGAATAGTCATTCTTCCATCCCATTCTTACCCTCCCTCAAAACACAAGGACTCAGGCCCCTGGCACAACACACACTTATTAGAAGGTGGGCCTATTGGTCACTCAGCTGCACTCCCCCCATCTTCCCCTCAGTGTTTTACAGAAACAAAACAAAAAGATGCTATTTGGGGAGGAAACCAAATGTCTGAACAGAATAAGGGGCCCAGAAGGCCATCAGGACCGACCATTTGCTCAGTGCAGGACTCCAAGCTAAACCATCCCTCTCAGAGGGCTGTCTAGCTGCATCTTGAATGCCTCTAGTGTGGGAGAGCCCAGAACCTCCCTAGGTAATTGGTTCCATTCCTAACTGCTCTCAGTCTGGAATCTAATAAATTGGTAAGCCTCATTCTGGCTCAGCTTTGGTTCTGGTGGCTTTCAAGGGAAGCCCACTTTCCCTCAGAACCCACCAGAAGTGATCCAAAGGAGCCAATTCTGCCTGAGCATCTGAATCTAAAGCACATCAGTAATCATTCCCTATCCTCAAAAGGACATGCAAACTAGATACAGCTTGGTATTTTTGCCCACCAATTTCCCAGGATATATTCTGCTTCATTTCTGTATCTTAGCTTGTAATAGCAACCATTCTGCAATAAAAATATTAATCTGATTGAGGCTGAAGTTGATTCCCAGTTCCCACTCTTTGACAAGGAGCTGCATGAGAAGTAGCTCTCATATCAGAAATAGCAAGCAATTTTCTGAAACTGCACTCAAGTTTGCTTTAGTTACCCCATAATTTCATTACACAAGATTGTTAATAAAAGGGTTTCTTTCTTCTTGCAGTGGCAATTCTGACGCAGTGATAGCTACTGATTTAAGTAACATGGACTAAAAGGTTATGAGATTGTTTACAACCAGGAGTCTAAAAAGGAGGGCCGTTCTCAAACATGGTAATAATGAGCTTTCCCAATTGGGAGACACACACAAATGCTTTGACCAGGGTCATTCTTAGCATTGGGTAGCGTGGGACCGCTGCCTTAAGAAGATGACTTTGGATGTCATGAAAATAACTATTCATGTTTGAACCGCCCCCCCCTCCCCATTGGCTGGTTCAGGGATGGAGGGAATTGTAGGACTTCCAACTGTCTAATCATGCATAGAATTGCACCCTTAATGTCTCATTGCCATATCTTTACTCCCAGAAGTGCTTGCAGGATTCTCTGTCTTAGGTGCCAAAATAATTTGACCAGCCTAGGCCTTCATTTTGACTTCCCTTGTGGGGGCAACTCAGACAGCAAATTGCCTTGGGTTCATGCCAAAAATAACGAACACACAAGGAACAAAGAGCCAATGGGCAGAACGTATCTTGTACCCCTTACAAGTTTATCTAACTAAAAGCAAACTCTTCGGGAAATCGGGGTTGGCAGGACGAGATGTGCCACAAGAGGACAGAGGCTCATCCTAGCGACAACCACTCGCGCTTAAGTCTCTTGCAGGAGGATCGCCGGATCAATTCAGCTGTGGGTCTTCCTGAAGAAAGGCGAGGTGGAAGCGGATGGCAAGTTATGGTAACGATCGAGTGGGTGGCAGGAAGAAGCGACGCCCACGGTCTGGCGGGGTAGGGCTTGACTTGCCTAGAGCGGGCGAGGGCGGACGGGCGGGGCGGGGCCTGGCTGGGGCGGCTCCAGGGCCATAAATGGAGCGCATCCGGCTCTCCGGCGTGGATCGCCCAGCAGCACGAGCGGACTGAGCGCGCCGGGACTGGCTCTGCAGCCCACAACTGCGGGCAGCGCGGTGGCCTCAGCAGCGGCACAGGCGGCAGCGCGAGCAGCGGCGCGTGTCGGTCGGCCAGCCAGCAGCTGCAGCCTCAGGATGAAGGGCCCGGCAGCAGCCCCTGCTTCGTCGGAAGTGATCCGCGAGGGCGAGCTGGAGAAGCGCAGCGACAGCCTGTTCCAGCTGTGGAAGAAGAAGCAGGTGGTGCTGAGCAAGGACAGTCTGAGCCTCTCGTCGCCCGAAGGTGGCGGCGGCGGCGGCAAGGGCCGCGCTAAGGAGCTGCGCTTCGGCTCCATCCAGAAGGTGGACTGCGTGGAGCGCACCGGCAAATACGTCTACTTCACCATCGTCACGACGGACCGCAAGGAGATCGACTTTCGGTGCCCGGGCGAGAGCTGCTGGAACGCCTCCATCACGCTGGCGCTCATCGACTTCCAGAACAAGCGCGCCATCCAGGACTTTAAGAGCCGCCAGGAGGCCGCCGAGGAGGCGGCCGCCGGCACCCGCGACAGGCGCCTCGCCCGCGCCCCCTGAGCCCGCAGCCGGCCGCAGCCCGGCCCCACCGACCAAAGGTGAGCGGGCACGTGTCGTCGCCCTGGCCACATTTCTACCCTTTGTCTGCCCCTTTTGTCCTGAATCCCTTTCTCTTTGATCCGTCTAAGGAGTCGGTCAGTCTTAATGCAAGAGCAACTCTGTTCGGAGTGATGCACGCTAAGTTTGAACGTTGAACGCTGTAGTACACATTTAGGATAGAGGAAGACATGCAGCGGAATCTTTTGTGCAATTCTGCTTGGGTCGCAGGGCTTTGTCCTAGCTTATTAGCCCAACTAGATCATTGATGGCTTTGCTATTACCTATCAACCTGTAGTGACTAATAAGAGGAAGGAATCTGACAAGGGTGGAAGCTTCAACGTAAGCGACCTCACTGGGGCAAACGGCTGTAATGCCATTTGATAAAGTGGGGTGAATCAGCTTTCTTAAATCAACATGTTTAGGTATAGCTAATCTGTGAATGATGAGCATGGGTGTTTTCTGTTCCCCAGATGCTTGGATCTGGTTCATTCATTGGAACTGAGACTTGCTTCCGGGTGAACCTGCTTAGAGAAAGCCGAATTATAACATTTGCCCGTGAAAAGGAAATAGAATTGTAAACCCATGCTAGTAATATCTTTGTACTGCTTTACCTGATTGTCCTTTTAAAAGTATAATCTCTATAGCTAAAGGAAGGGGCCTGCAAAGTGTTTCTGTTCCTTGCTAGGTTAAGTTATGCGCATTCAGAGCTACGACTGTTCTTTAAGGAAGCTTTAGACAAAGAGTGGAGTGTGACCGTGTCCGTCCAGTGTACTTATTAAGCACATCCACATTCCAAGCAGGAACTGAGGATCCTTGCACGGATGTCACGATAGTGGAAATCAGCACAATTGGCCAATGAGTGACCATAGCAGCAAACCTCTGTTCCACTCGATTCTCTCCGCGCACGCACGCACGCACACACACACACACACACGCGCTGTATAAAAGCCTGAAACTACATCCTGCATCTGATGGAGTGGGTTATAGTCCATGAAAGCTTGTGCCAGAATAAATGTATTAATCTTTGAAGTGCTGCAAGACTCTTTGTTGTGGTTACTCTTATAAAGATAAGGCTTTTTACCTTATCTGTTAAGTATGGCAGCATAAAACCACTTGTAGTGAGATTAACCATTTATTCAGTTCAGTTATTGCGAGTTGTTTGGGAATGGGTTCTTACTGCAATTGGAATGGAATTTTGCAGAGCAGGTGGGGGGTATATAAGAATTGCACTAAGAAGGAAGTAAAAAATCACTGTAGAAAGTCCCACTAGCACAGTTTAAGAATCTATTTTCAGATTAATATTTATAACTTGGGTGGTTGCACTGATTTCAGTAGAACCTAATCCCAGCTTCATGCATTGGGTGCACCGCCGAGCAATTCTGCAGTCCCAGCTGATCTCCCTGAGTTTAATGCTCACTACCAGGAAAGTATGCATAGAATTGCTGTGCTGCTTGCTTTGTAATAGTGTCATTAGACAGGCCTTCTGAGTAAATATACGAAGGATTGGGTTTTATGTTTTGAACTTTCGAGATACACCATTTTCTGGTAAGTTGTAATCTCACATGTATTTTTTTAAATGGCTGCACTGAACTTTGTGGGATGGAGAGTGAGTATACTTACGAAATTACTAGAGCTCAGTGCTATTTCCCTTTTCCAGTTTATAGGAAAGCCTGAAAATATGAACACTCTTTCAGCTGTTTCTTCAAAGGACCTTTGCAGTACTTTCAGCAATGTTTTTGTACTGACCTGCTTCACTAATACTTTATTTTTCTCTTGCTTTCAGTAGTGTATCTCTGGATGGCAAACAAGATTCATGTTCTTGGAATGTACCAGGAGAGGATACCAATGAAGGAAAACAAAGAAGGATGTTCAAAGTATCTGGTTTCTTCCAGGTCTGATGAGGTAGCTGAGCAAAGAAGCCAAGCTTCCCTTGAGCAGCATTTACAAGCCAAAGACTATTACGAAAAAAGACTTAATGCAAAGTATGACTGTGCAGGATGCCTAGCTTTGCAAAATGTGTGATTTTTCTATTTATAAGTTGCAAAGAATGGGCAGTACCTGCTGATGCGAGAACACTTTACATTATTTGTAATATCTATATTTGTATTTATTTTGATAAATATCCTTAAGTACATGTTTGTCTTAAAATTGCTCCTGACATTTTAATGTGTCCATTCCAAATTAAAAGCTTTTTTATTACTGTATTTCTGAAGTGCAGCTTTTCTTTGGGAGAAAACTAGTTGTATTACTATACCAACAAAGCAGATACCCTCCCGTTTCAACCCCTCAAATGCTCGGGGTTGGGGGACCCTGCAGAGCAGGGATGGGTGAAGAGTAGCAGGGGAGGAAAGGGTGTGGATGTCCTGTTACATGAGTGTAGTTCTGCTCATGCAACATTACATTTCATTCTATATTTGTGGAAGTGGAAACAATGCCTATCATATCTGACCTGACCATGGAGTATTCAAGGGGAAGCACTCAAGCCAATAGCAAAATCATTAGTGTGTGTTAATAGTCATAAACTGCACATATATACTGTAAGTGTCAGCTCTGCCTTAGTGGCATTGTAAGGATTATTGCTTTATGGTACAGGAAGTGCTTCGAACACTAAAGCACCATGGGTTGGATCCCATGCATATCCATGGGCACAAGAACAGAAGCTTGGTCAGACCCTTGGTCCATCTAGCCTAGTATTGCTGACACTGACTGGCAGCAGCAATGGTTCTCCAGGCTTTCGGGCAGTTGTTCTGGCTGTATCTGAAGATGCTGCAAGTTGAACTGGGAACCTTCTGTGTGCAAAACAAGTGAACTATGGACCCTTGATTATATGGAATAGCCCCACTCATGGAAGGCACCCCTACTTAAGTTTTGGATATCCCCACCACTACAGCTCACCCCATTTAGCAGGTTGCTCAACCCTGTGTAGCATTTTATTTATTTATTTATTTAAAGCTTTTATATCCCACCCTTCACTGTGTCTCAGGGTGGTAATACAATAAAATGCAATAAAGTACAGCAGTAACTAAAACCCAATCTTAAAACATTTAAAAATATTAACATTTAAAATAATGAGAAAATAAAAAGGTTTTGGCCTGGTGCAGAAAAGAAAAGTGTCAGCACCAGGTACACCTCTCTGGGGAGCATATTCTATAGCTGGGTGCCACTGCAGAGAAGGCCCTTCTCCAGGTAGCCACTCTTCTGATCTTCAAAGAGAGTTCCTGAAGAAGAACCTCTGATCCAAATCTTAGGGGGCAGGCAGGTATGTATGAAAGGAGGCACTCCTTCAAATATCCAGGTCCTAAGCTCCTTAGGGCTTTATCATTCATCACCAGCATCTTAAATTGTGCCCAGACTTAACCTGGAAGCCAGTCCAGATGGTACAGGACTGGCATATATGTATATCTGGTGGTTCCTGCTAGCAACCTGACTGCTCTATTCTGAACCAATTGAATTATCCAGACTGTCTTCAAGGGCAGCCCCACATAGAGTGTGTTACAATAGTCCAGTTAGGAGGTTACTAGACCATGGATTACCATCACTAGGCTCATTCAGGGAAAGGCATAGTTGATGGATCAGCCAAAGCTCAAGGAAAGAGTTCCTTGCCACAGCAGTCACCTGGCACTCTAAGGATAACTGGGTCAAGGATCACTCCCAAACTAGAGACACTGTCCCTTAGGGGGAGTGCAACCCCATCCAGAACAGGGCAGAAATCACCTACCTGGAGTGTTGAACCACCTACAAACAGGACCTCTGTCTTGTCTGGATTAAGTTTCAATTGATTGGCACTCAACCAACCCATCACCCCAGCCAGATACCAGTTAAGGTTAAGGGGGAAATCCAGGGTAGGGTTAGCAAAATGAAGGTGCTTCTAATGCTTCTGACACACGGAAGGTGCTTAGAAGGGGCAGGTAGAATGAGCTGGGCAGAAAAATCTCCGGAAAGGGTGTGCTGCATGTGGATGTATGTCATATTTTAGGTTTACAGCCACTGCCTCACCTGGATCACATGTAAAAGAGAGGTAGAGCTGGGTATCATCATCATACTGATGACTCCTCAGTCCAAACCCCTGGATGACCTCTCCCACCAGTTTCATGTAGATGTTAAACAGTATGGGGGATAAAATGGAGCCCTGAAGAACTGCATGGCATAACTGCCATGGTGCTCAGCTATAACCCGCCCCCCTCAGCACCACCTTCTGGAATTGGCCCAGCAAGTAGGAACAGAAACATTGCGGGGCAGTGCCTCCAATCCCCAACCCACCAAACCTATTCATGGTCAATGGTACTGAAAGCCACTGAGAGGTCCAGGAGAACCAACAGGGACACACTCCCCCTGTCCGTCTCCCTGCACAAGTCATTGTACAGGGTGACCAGGGGCAGTTTCAGTTCTGTAGCCAGGTCTGAATCCAGACTGAAATGGGTCCAAATGGCTTCCTTCAAGTGAGCTTGGAGTTGTCCAGCCACCACCCGCTCAGGCACTTTGCCCAAGAACAGGATGTTAGCCACCAGTCCATAATTGGAGGCAATCTCTGGGTCCAGGTTTGCCTTCTTCAGGATGGGTCTGATCACTGCCTCTTTCAGGAGAGTGGGACTCAACCCTCCCTCAGAGGGGCATTTTCATAGGGATGGAGGGGTTGCTGTCAGAAGTTACAGGCTGGGAAATTGCACATATCTAAATCTGGATCCAATCCATAAGTTCAAACAACTCATGGTCAGCTGTACAAATTCTTAAACTAGAACTGCAAGAAAAGGATAGCAACTGCTCAAGGAAAGCAATATGGCTAGTTTTCTGGTGGTGCATGTAGAAATGGTGCATTGGTACTGTAAGCCCAGCATTTCAGCAATGTTGAGCAGATGAGCCACTTTACAGCTGCACAACCTACCAACTTGGTAAAATGACAATTAAATGTTAGGATTACTTGGATCGGATCTAACAGTGAAAACACCTGACATCATAATGACTGACTGAGGCAAATTCACTTCACCTGAGTGAATCTAGCTTTTCAAGTAATGCTTGTCAGTGTGTCAGATTCATAAGCTTAAACAACATGTGAGGCCAGCCAGTTTAGGCCTCAGCCTAAAAGCAGCACCTTCCATTTCTGATTCCCTGCTTAGATTTGTTCCTGCCTGCCAAGTGATATAGTAAATGAGAAGAGGTATTAGCATACCCAGTGAAAGGGGCTGCATCATTCGGAAAACTCAAGCAAGGGGGAAAAGTCAAGGCCACGAATAATGCTTTACTGGGAGCCCTGAAGCACAGCAGAACCTCAGGGCCAGGGGCCAAATCCAGCCTGCTTGGGGTCCCAATCTGGCTTCTGGGCTTCCCCGGATGACTGCACTTTCTTCCCCAGGTCCCAACTTCTTTCCCCTAAGCACAGATCATTGGATGGCTTCCCAGGTTCAGTCCATCCCCCA